AAGCAGTAAGAGTCGGCATGGCATTCCACTGTGGTTATAACTGCATGACGCACTCTTCAGCCACTTAATGGATCTTTTTGTCAGCATTGAGGTGTATGGAGCCTGAGTGGTTTTGTTATCTAAGTGAGGCGTCTTTCCTTCTTGCTCCCCACTCTCGTTTCTCACACACACACTATGCTGTAGTTTGTATCTCAGGGGAAATGGATTCGTGTCAGTATCTCGGAGACTGGCAGCCCATCCATTATAGCTTATCGCATGTGTGTGTTTGTGTGTGAAAGAGTGAGGCAGAGATGTGTGGAAAAATACGTGGCTCATGATCCACACACCCTGCAGGTACCCATATTAGTGAATTGGCTGTGATGCCCGGGGCGCCTTCTCCATGGTGAGATTGCATCATCCGTGTGTTTTGGGGAGTGAGAGATAGGCAGAAATGTACTATGTAGGTCATGTTTGAAAGATGGAGGATATGTGGACAGCTTCAAGAGACCAACATTGGTCAATAATGTGCATTATTTTCCTATGAGTTCAACTCTAGAGTCATCTAATGCAACAACATTAACACATTCTACCTCCTGTTCACATTATATCATACTTATAAATTCATATTTGTTCCTGCAGCTTCACTAAAAACAGAGAGAGAAACAGATGGCACACACACAAGGCTCTTAGACGTGTAATGCCACCGAGCAAATCCAATAGAGGGCTTCATAACGGCGTTTACAGCATCCATTCATTTTTATGCTCTCTGACTCAGATGTACGTTTCCTAGTAAAAGATAGAATGTGTGCCCCAGGCGCAATATCTGCATATGCTACACATTCTCTCAGCACATCTGTGATGACGTCATCACTGAGAGAGATAAGGGAAGCCCACGTCCAGAGAACAGAGATGTTTTTAACAGCTTGCTGCATAGATGCAGGCTAAAAGCAAACTCAAAGAAGGTACATCTAAATCATGTATTTTCAAAGAGACTTCAATTAAAATATAGAGCTAGCTCTGCAGATCTCCTCCACCCTGTCATCCTGGAGTAAATTGTCCTGATTGCAAGCCCAGTGTCCTCTGCTTTTCGCCTCGGTTACCTCGACAAAAAGGCAATTGCAATATAGCTGAGAATTATCTCTGTGGAAAACAAAATTCGATGATACACTTTTTGTTCAGTTGTTCAGTCGTTGCACAAAGCATGAAAATACCTTTTTCAGGCACATTACCAGAATCACATTAAATATGAGGTGCAAAAATCGCTGACTCAAAGCTGGACATATTAGGTATAACTTTGTCAACAAAAAACACGTGAGCAAAACGTAATTCATTTCCTGTGCTATCAAACCCATCAGTATTAATTTACTTTGCCTTTTGTTTAAAAACAAAAGTGCACAATACAGAGTGGCAAAGTATTGAGAAACGGCCTCACACTTTGATGGTTCGCACCTTTGGTGACTTTTAACCACTTTAAATCCACTCTAAAACATAGAACAGATACAGAACTGAAGTATATGTTTAATAAATTATGTTATATGCATAAAGAAATGTTATCTATTTCATTATTCATGCTTAGGCATATTTAACCAGCCAGCCAATACCAACAAATGTGTGATCCAAGTGTGAATTGTCATTCAAATAATGCATAGTCCACCCCCCACCTTAGTATTTAACACCTGGTATTTATAATGCTCCATACTGTAGGTGGCAGATTGGCATATTAACGTTGGACACAATTCTTCATATGCACTATAGAGAGCATGTAAACAGGACGGGAGGTGGTAAACCTGTCAGCTGTCAACATAAACAAACATGGCAGGTGTGACATTTCAACTTCACCTGTCAGACATTCTGCTTTGTATCCAAACAGGTCAGAGAAGAACAAAGGCCAGAGAGACGTTAGCTTGTACTCTTTTTTTCATATTGCGTGGGTAGCTTTTACACCTGGCTGACATGGAATTATAACTCTTATTTGTTGGCTTGTCAGTCGCAGTGGGTGGGAGGAGAACGAACATGTTTATCTTTATCCAGATTACAGAACATAGAGAGACGGCACATTTAGTTGAAAGAATGGCCTCTCTCCTTCATTCATAATCTCTGTCTGCTCTTCCTATCTGTTGTTATCCTGTCTCTCTTCTTACACAAAAGAACACGATCCTACATTGTCTGCTGTGTTGTAACCCGGCAGCTGCATTTTGTGAGATGATTGTCCCTGTGTGATGAAACAAGCCCTGTCAGGAGCTACAGCCGATTACATGGCTGCATGCAGTGATCACTCTTTGTGTGTAAACACTTTGGAAAAAAGCAATCGATGCAATGCAACATGTTGATGGATAAACTCCAACAGTGACATTGAAAAATCTCTGTCTGCCTTTGCTGTCTGACGGAGAGATTCAGAGTTAAGAGGAGAGATGTAGGCTTTGTAATGAACACAGAGATTTTATTTGCTCCCTCTCTCGTTCTATTTTCTCTTCTGCCTTGGATATATAATCAAACCATATGCAACCGCTCTGAGAATCGTTTTGGTTTCAGTCCTTATGTCACGGTTCGCATTAAATGCTTGATGGTGGATCACACGTGAAATTAATCCAATCAGATTTGTGACCTCTGAGGCTCTCTGAGACGCTGAGTTGTTCTGACCTGCACATGTTAGTCTTTATGAGAACTCCTGACCCTTTTGACTGCATTACAGCTGTGCCATGTTGACACTAATGTCCCTTTACAATTATTTCTTGAACAGGAGTCTAACATGAGCCAAATATCATCCAACCAAGTTAGAATTATAGTGGTCGTTTTGCATGACTGATGTCTGTTTTGTCTAAGTTTTCTCACCCCTTTGAAGTGGGTAGGAACGGTTGGAAAAAAAACGTATTTCCACCAACCTATCAGAACTTAAAAAGTTAAGCGACAACCTTTGGGACTAGGCAGTGAAGCCTGTGTGAAAGTGCCAACAACTGTTGTTAATAGAATGGCCACTTGAGGCTGGAGCAAAAGGGAGTTGAGCTCCGTAGAACCCTAAGTTAAAATGTCCAATTTTACTTGAAAAGAATCATGTTTACAGCCTGGTACCAAAGAACGTGTGAAAAAAGTGTGAATGTCCCCAATGAAGACTACTGTACCGGGTTTGAATTGTTATGTTAGTTTACTATTTGAATACTATTTTGAAAGCCTTTAAGTAAGCATTATAAGGGGCTTGGCCACTTTAAGTGACAGGTGTCCTCACAGGTAGCTAGATGCTTGCTGTCTGGTAGCATATGTTCTAATGTCAGAATAGTCAAATATAAACATCACAACAATACATCTTTCAGAATTCCTAACTAACTTTAACAGTAAGAATGTGAATTGTGGTGTTAAGTTCTTTTTTCATCATCCAGACCAGCGATTTGCAATAGTCTTATTGTTTTTTTTCCCCTTCCCCTAATCAGCTTCACTCAGCAGTGTCTGACCCTCAAATATATGAACCTCCCCCGAAGTGGTCCAAGGGGTAATTACATCTGCCAGAGAATGAGGCACGTGTTAGTCCTTCTATCTCAGCAGGGCTCAGTTACTCAACCTGATGCTAGTGTGTGTACGTGTGTTTCTGTGGGTGTGTGTCCTTGTTTAAACAGTGCTAATTGGCACTCTGGAGTGTTTCGACTCCACCTCTCCCAGAGTGTCTTGTGCCGCCACTTTATCAGACTGCCAGTCGATTTGAAATCCATTCCCTCAGCAGGTGTTGCCCGAAACATTATCAGAACCCCAAAAGAGAATTTCCCCAAGGGCTATTTCACTTGCTCCTCTCACTCTCCTATCTAACGGCCTTCTCACAGGAAGATAGAGGCAAACAGGGCTTCCGGGCATCTTTTGAAATTGCTACAGTAAAGCATCCATAGCCAGAAAAAATCTTTGCACACCTGTGAGCCTTGGACGAGTACGTTAATCCCTAAAACTGCACAAAACGCCCATTGCTTCCAATGAAGCCTTAAATTGCTTTCAAGTGAAAGAATGGGAATCTACTTTTTTGAGCAGTAAGCGTTTGATTGTGAGGTTGGTTTTCCTGGGGGGCATTGGCTACAGTTTTTGTTTTATGTAAAGGTGTTTTTCTTTTATATCAAGACACAACATTTAATAAGAAAGGTTTGCTTTAGTTTGAATGAATGTGTGTTTTAATCACAGATCCCGAATATGTTTGCGGCTCTTTAATGAGGCCTTTTCAAGCTGGAAGGTTGTCAGAGCTGCTGCTTTGATCAGTGGCCCATGGACACAGGATTACACTGCTAACACGCTACGCTAATGGAGCCATGGGGCAAAAACACACACTTACAAACACGCCTCTAAACACACACACACACCAAACACACCAAACACAAATTCAAATTTAGTAAATATACATAAAAACACACTCAACCTCTAACAAGGGCACAGTGGCATAAGCCGGTGTCTTGTTGTGATGCAGCCCATTATGTCAGGCCCTTTCATCTGTTTGTGGCGGTTTGGGTCGGCTGAGTTCTAGGCTCGCCGCTAAAGGCTCTGCCAAAGGGGGCTCAGAGAGAAAGGTCCAAAGCTCGGCGCTGACACACAGCCCAACTCTAGAGACTAATGGTTTGTAGCTCCCAACATATGTTGCTTTGTGTAATTGCTTTAATTGCTGTCATTGTACGTAATGGTTGGTCTTTTTCATCTTCCCTGGTGATGTAGGCATTCTGCTAATTATATCTGTCAGCCCCGCAGCCAAAATGAGAGTTTCACAGCCATTTCAGAGCAGTGGGAACTTTTAAATCTGTAGTTTCTGTATACTATCGATGTTTGTGTGGTTGTAAATGAATGAGTGTGTGTTAGAATAGCTTATGAATCATTAGAGTTCAGATCATTTAGAAACTCCCCATCGTGAATCTGTTTAATGGAACTGGGGTGAGGTTCAAACCTTAACCGGCTTTTCCTTCCGATTTATTTCGCTGTGGTTTTTAATTTGTATGCATCCAAAGTTGAAATGACAATGTTGGTCTAACAAAAATTGGAAATCTCTTTTTCTTTCACTCCAGGTACGACACCATAACCAACCAGTGGGAGACAGTTTCTCCTCTGCCGAAGCCGGTCTACTCTGCAGCAGCCACGGTGTGCGGAGGGAAGGTCTACGTGTTTGGAGGAGTGAACGAGGCCGGGCGCTCGGCGGGGGTCCTGCAGTCCTACGTACCGCAGAGCAACACCTGGAGCTTCATTGAATCCCCCATGATAGGTAAGACAGGTGACGACACCCATGGTTCTTTACCTATAAATGTGGTTTCTTTCACACACAAGCTTCAACACAGTGCAGACATGTCCTCAGGGGACGTGTTGCCATGTTTGCCATCACCTTTTGTGTGATACCATAACTGTTGCTTCCTTTTAAACCAGTCGACCAAGTTGTTATTCCCAAATGCGTGGTTTCTCTTTCCTTATTATGCCTCTGCATTTTCCCTATTTGAAAGGGAATTAACTTCACACCAGCAGAAGAAAACCCATGAATATTAATGTCTGCTTTTTATTAGTAATGTAACACTGAAAAAGGCACACATTGCAGTATTACTGTTCTCATTTATATGCATGCTTTCCTCTAATCCTTGGTCATTGACTATCTTGTTAGAGGCTTTGGGCCTCCATTATGGTTCCCATGGTTGCCTAGCAACAGTGTTTTCAAAAATGTACCCACTTGAATATCTTCCATATCATGTGCTTGACTTTTCCTGTCAAACCTATAAAACACCGATGGCCATTTGAAGAAAAAACAGTTGATGACTTTATGAGGCTGAATCCTTTACTTGGGGCTTCTACTCCTTTTGCACTTTGTACCTTAAAAACACATGACGTGACATCCCATATATATATATATATAATATCTCCTGTGTGTTAAGGTGAAGATAAAGAACATTAACGGTGTTAAAACCTCTACAAATGAGAATTGAGTGTTGTTAGAATGTTAGTTTATTCATGTCGATTGTTGACCCACACTCAGGAAACAGATAATTCATTGGTCAGTGCGACCTTTTTCCATCCTAGTTGTTTTCTTCTTATCATTATTTCCTTCCTACTCTGTATTTAACATTATTCACTTGTTATTGCTCTATCAGTGTAATGAGAAGACCATAGTTTGCTGCAATGTTTTGGACCTCTCTGTAGTTATTCACCTCAAAAACCTGCAGCCACGTTCCAGTCAGAGCCACCAGGGTCCTGTAAAGGATGGGGCATCAGAAGAAACACTTAAAGTAAGCTGCCATAACTCCCGGGTAGCAGGAAAAACACAAATGGTATGACCCTGCGTTAATCAAAGCACTGACAGATGTGTTCCCACTGCAAAGATCTTATCAACAGGCAGGGTTTTTTAAATATGTTTTTTTGAAAGGTGCAGTGCCGCAGGGATGATTGCTATTGATTTGAACACATCCTGTGAGTCTTTCCGTTTAACATTTGGTTCTGGACGACACTTTTACACACTGACACACACCACACATGGAGTGTAAACCTATCCCACAAAAATGCTTTCTTTTGTAGAGTTAGATTGATACCCCTGCTGTCTGTCGATAGATATGAGGAAATAGCCAGTCGGACTCCAAAATCCAACTACCAGCAACTCTAATGTTATATCTTGTATATTTAATCTACACTAACATATTTTACAGGGGGGGGGCTCAACTATGTCCTGGTTAGGAGCCAGTAACCAGTCGATTTGTCCTACACCAGAAATGTTCCTTCAAATCAAATGTCAAATTGTCATTTTTGGCTTTGTTTTTTCCACTAAGTTAACAAAGAAATATAACCTATGCTAAAATAAGATAATGCTAGTGGGGGCAGCCTTGCACTAAATGGCCACATATGATCCTGGTATCAGTCTTCTTTAGTACTTTCACTCTGCGAATTTCCCCAAATGTCAAGACCATCAATTTAAAGCTGCAGCTGGAATTAATATTTTGAAGCAAAAACTTCTATGTTTAAGTACATTTTGATACATTTTCAAAAAAGATTGAAATGATCTATTTCATGCCAGATCATCCCATTTAAAATGTTGGCAAATTACGTAATCTCTAGGGGTAGAGCTATCCAGATGCGGCTCAAATGGCGGCGTACTGATGCTGCAGTTAATTCTGGCTTAGAGGAGAAACACTGGGTCATAAATGTATTTGAATTCAACTGTTTCCTGACACAGTGGATCATTAAAGCACTGGAGCAGCGGCACTTCCGTCAGCACTGATGCCCAGTTCCTCCCTCTCTGTTATTAGAGCCTTTTCAGAGACACACTACTGCGAGTGTTATTCAGATTATGTAACGCTGGTGTTTGGGGCGAGAGCTGAATGGTATTACTGGGCAGGAAGAGAAGCTGGCAGAGGAGGAATGAGAGCAAAGTCTGTCGAGTAACACACACATGCACGCAGATACGCAGACACACACAGCCTCTACTTACCTCATATCAACTACACTTCCCCCAGGGGCACAGGTACACAGCGCATGAATTATGTAACGAGCCGGGAGGTTACTCTGTGTGTGTGCTTGCATTCTGTTTGTCTATTAGTATGTGTGTTAAGGACAAACAGACAGACCGTCATCTGTCAGGGTGTAGATGAGCCTGTGTCTGACAGCCAGCGAGCCGGGGGATAATGGACAGGTTTAGTGCTTCCTGTGAAATTGGGCCGGCGATGATTTTAGTGAGCCGGTGGGGAGCGCTTCTCGATCAACCCTCTGCCTCCCCCCATCGCTCTGCCTCTCTAATCTGCCTGCTCATCTCCCCTCTCTCTCGCCCCCCCTTCCTTCTGTCTCACAGCCTCCCCCTCCGTACGCCTCCCCCCCACGGTCTCTCGCGGTCTCCCAGCACTGTCTTATCGACTAACACAAATACAGCTGTGTGCGTTTTCTGCGAGTGTGTGTGCGTATGTGTTTTCCCTCTGCATGGACCATCTCCCGCATGAACTGCAAATGGGTTTCACAAACACTTATCAGGACTGACTTCCCATCTCTCGCAGAGTGAAAAATAATATCCCTTGTGCCAAAAATAGTCTCCTGAAAAAGTCCATGGAGATGCGTGGTGTCTATGTATCCTACTTTGTCTTCAATATCAGCTGAGCTGTATATGTTCTGAAACATTGGATGGTAATGGGGCCCCCACACATGCGGTCAACCATTTATGAAACCTTGTTGCCTTCCTTAAAAGGTCAGTTCAACAAAACAACCAAAATGCCAAGGTTTCACGATGTCTCTCTGTGAGATTTCTGCCTACACCTCAGCTCAATAGAGGTGAAAGGAACTTTGTTTGTGCATTGAAAAATGACATTTCCTGAAAAATCCATAATCCTGGGTGATCCAGCCATTCCTCTCAGACTGCGACACCCTGTATAGCTGTGAGGTGCGAGGACATGTTCTCATATTATTCGGATATGAAGTTTTTCATACCAGTTACATTTCAGAGTCAACTCTTCCATATCATTTTACGTCTTCTTTTAAAAACTATTTCAAAGTCTTCTGATCTTTATCTTGTCCAACGTATTAAAACATTTGCGTTTGATTGCGGTTCAGTGAGCATTTTTTGGGGGGATTAATATACTCCACCACAACATCCATGTTCCTCTCAGCATACATTTAAATAAATTATTGTGATACACTTGCTTTGTACCTATCTTAGGCATCAGAACTCAATTTCAATGTGTTCAATACTAAAATAATAAAAGGGGCTAAAATGTGCAGAGCTATGTCATGTTCTCATAGCTTACCTAAATGCTGAGTAATCTGAGTCTATGTACAGTACGACAGGGCCTTCAGCATAGCTGTAGGAGACACTTAGTCTTTGTCTTAAAAGTCATAAGGGATGCGAGCCCTTTCTGGGCTTTTTTCCTTTTATTAATTAATGTCTACTAAAGAAAAATGCCCCTACAAAAAGTGTTCACAGCGTATTCTGTAAAGGGCACTTATTCCACAATACTGAATAATGAATGAGGAGATCTTGGCGATTATTATTATTTTTTAATTCCATAATATCATGGTGAAAGCAGATATTAAAGCCAAAGAGAACCCTCCAATATTTCTCCATGACATCACCTATTTATGAAAAATAAATCTCCTATCCAGTGTGTGGGTTCTTTAGATTTGATTGACTAACTAAACACCTCACCAACAGTCACATTCAAATGGTTTTAAATGAATGTTATGGAAGAGAATACGTTTTCGAAATGAAAGATTCAGAGGCTTTGTTTTCATATGCGTAACAGTTACAGCCTAGTTAATGCAATACACATTTTCATTCCCAGGCTCTTCCAACAATTAAGACATTCAAATAAATAAAATAGGGCAATTACAATAGTGCAAGTGTAATGCAAGAGTAAATGAACATGTACAATTGAATGTTACGAGAGAATGTAAAATTGAATACTGTTCATTAAATTATAATACTGTTTATTTTAATAATGTATAAATATGCACACTATAAAACAGAATAATTAAGACCCACCCACTTTAAACCAATCAAAAGATTAGACAGATTTATACAATATTGTCCCAAATTGCAAAAGTATGCTTTACTTCATCACCAGCCTAATTTCAAAAAAGTTTCCGGGGACTTTAAAAACTATCTACGTCGATACAAACCCTCCAGGGTAAGTGAGAAAATATTTTTTATATTTTGGGTACCGCATGTTTTAATAATCCCTTGCTATCACACATCCTCTCAGGCACATTCAGAGTGAAGCACACACACACACACACACACACACACACACACACACACACACACACACACACACACACACACACACACACACACACACACACTTCCTCTCCAAGGCCCCCTCCAGTATTCAGCCAGCGTTCGTCCCCTGCTGACAGACGGGTCTCCATCGACTGGTGGACGCCGGGGACCTGAGAGCAGAGGCGCCGCGCCCAGACTGCTCTATCTGGAAATTGACAGCAGAACAACTGCTCGCGCAAATGACGTGTCAGCCCAATGGGCACGGCAGGTTGAGAGTGACATTATGGAGGTGGAGCATGTACGAGGTGAGCGTGACTGAGCGCGAGACGTGGAAAAGATGGAGTGTTTCCATAGCTACACCCCCCCTGCAATCGTTCCCTATCATACTTAATTAAAGCACATCATCCACTTTCGCTCTCTCTGCGGTTTTTGGCCCATCATTTCAAAGGCTGCTCTTATTCTCCTCACACCGAATAAAAGGACGTTGTGTGATAAAGGAAAAAGTTTCTGCTGCTCCAATTACCTTGTCG